AGATTTGCTCTGGAAAGTCTCCCGGTCCACAATGAAATGCAAAACTACTACTATTACTACTACTACTACTACTACTACTACTAATGATAATTAGGATGATGATGATAGCGGTGATGGTGGTTATAATGGGAATAATGTTTACTCGCAACTATAAATAGCTCAATTGCATACTATTAATCAATTTTGAAAACGTAATAAGAGTACCAATAAACAGCTATAGTGCTTATTCAAGGTCATATCAAAATTTATGTAATCCTACAATGCGTGACTCCTTTTAAGGTGAAAGTCGACTACTCTGCAGCAGACATTCATGACCTTGTTGACCTACAGATAAGTACATAAGCAGGACAAGCTAGTTGAATAAACAAATATTGGCGTTTTTACATCTGGACTCAATAAAACGATATTTAGTACGAGATACATGAAACAAGGGCATGACATTATATATTGATCTACATTAATTATAAATGCAATCAATGAGAATTACGTCAAGTTGGAGGATGCAAGGTATACTAATCGACCAAGCATTTATTGCCCCCCTGGAGCCGTATACTACAAATGTAGTTCTAAAAATTGACGACATAATTGTAATCAAACATAGAGCGATGAAGTCCTTCAATTATTTTTAAGTTAAATAATTACACAGGCATATACAAGTGTATTTAGTTCAGCGACAAAGACAACGAAAAAACAGCCTGTAATGAGACAGTATTAATAGGGGTGACTCACATTAAGACTAAACAATATAAGGTTAAAAAATATCGATTCTTACGGAATACATTAACAATATATTATCTCAAAACAATTCCGACTAAAATGCATTGGCTCAGCTCATTTATCATTATCCCACATGATTTCAAATGACAAAGCGTAAAATTTCAAACAAAAGTTAAATTATAAACTCCGTTTTTCATTTTTTTCAGATCATTTAAAGAGATAATAACATGAAACACTTGCAAAAGGATTCTTGTATCGGTATTTGGAGCTGTTCATAGCGCAAGCTATATCGCCCATAGTTAATGAAGCGGTAGTGGAAACCGTACCACAAAACCCAGTACCACAGGATGGAATCAGAGGAATCACCAAATGGTATTACAAATACATTCGGACCATAACTGATTCCATTGGATAATTAGATTGTATGAGTTGAACAGAAAAACCGATCTTAGTAATAAACGGTACCAACCGACCTGTACCGATCGTTGTTGTTTCAGCTTCCGTAGTAGCAGTTCTGGTAGTCGTGGGTGCCTGGGTGGTTGTTACCGCAGCAGTTGTGGGTGCCTGGGTGGTTGTTACCGCAGCAGTTGTGGGTGCCTGGGTGGTTGTTACCGCAGCACTGGTGGTCGTAGGTGCCTGGGTGGTTGTTACCGCAGCAGTTGTAGGTGCCTGGGTGGTTGTTACCGCAGCAGTTGTGGGTGCCTGGGTGGTTGTTACAACAGTGGTGGTAGTCGTGGGTGCCTGGGTGGTTGTTTCCGCAGCAGTTGTGGGTGCCTGGGTGGTTGTTACAACAGTGGTGGTGGTTGTAGGTGCCTGGGTGGTTGTTACAACAGTGGTGGTGGTTGTAGGAGTTGTAGTTGTCGTGGTCGGTGTGGTCGGTACAGCTGATTGCATTGAGAAATGTACATCATTTATTTATGTAGAAAGTAAAAAACGACGGGCGCCTGTATATATGTAATACATGTACAGTGCAGGTATTTAAGTCAAACCCGCAATACTATGAAAGTAAACATAAATCAATGTGTAAAGCATTGCATGGCTAAAGCATTATGAAAACAGCATTAGTAGACAAGGGTAAATATCCTGTTGAAATATGACCAAAAAGTATAATGAATTATTGAAACCACCAGGAGTGCGTTTCATATAATGCTTTTTTCAAACCTGAACTTCAGCAAACCGATGATGTTGCTTGAATAATATGAGGCGATAATGGATTTTGTAAACAGAAGTCCTTTTTAAGAAATTCGCTTAAAATTACACTTAAAGGACGCAGACATTAAAGGGATAATAGCTCTTCTTATGAGATCTATATTTCACAATAAAAACATTGTGAACAATTCATAGAAATATAATATATTCTGTTTTGCCAGAAAATTGGCAGTTATAGCTATTATTCTGATAACTGAGCTTATCATCGGACCACATGACCTCCACAGATGGTATACTCTGTAATAATCTCTTAAGAGATTATTAAAAAAAAAAAAAAAAAAAAAAAAAAAAAGGGACTACCTTTGAATGTAGATATGGGTTCATTAACCATTGGTAAATATGGGGAAATTGTTGTTTACTCCACGAAAAATTCATTTTTTTGTCCAAAAAGAACCGTCATTATCCCTTCAAGTGTTGTGCCTACATGTGTGTGAGTGCGTGCCCATGAGAGTGTTTGTTCGCGCGCGCGCGCGTGTGTGTGTGTGTGTTTGCATACGTATTTATTTGTGTGCGTTTTTGTGTATTTGTGTGCGGTGCGTGTGTGTATTAAAGTGCTCATGCATGTGTGTACGTGTGAGATCTCTACTCTTACTTGTTCCGCCATGGCGGCAAAGCACCGCATAACTCTGAGCATCACAGTCCACCATATTAAACTGACAGGCATCGGTATCTGAGGTACAGTCCAACGTTACGCAGTCCCCACATCTTCCGTTGGAGCACTCGTTAAGCCACGGCATATATCCGGCGGCTTGCAACTGAGGGGTCTGCCACTGCCAGTACCGGTTTGATCCACCGCCAGTAGCTGATACGATGTCCTTCAAGGAGACGAGGTACTCGTTTCTGAAATTGAAAGCTGTGTGACGTTGTTTTTCTCTTTCTGGCTTTAAACTTTGAGGGTCACTTCTGACTTCTTGATACTTAATACTGGGTATCTCTTGAAGGCATATTTAAAACTCGGATAATTCTACAAAGGTGGGTGGAACGGCTTTTGTCCTAGCCGCCGTTCGGAGGGAAAAAAACTGGTTGACACACAGACGTCCGAGTACTTTTTTTACAGCAAAATTACTTGACGCGTAAATGTTTCATACATGAGCCTCGTAAAAACACACTGGAGTCTAATAATGCGCACAAAGTAGCTGTGGGTTTTCTTATTTGATTATATTTTATGTGCTTTTAAAATGTGATTTATTTTGTAACTTCTGCCCACGTTAAAGCCTCGGTCACAACAGGCCGTACGGGCTCTTATGGGCTGTTTGCGTTCAAATTTTGCGGAGAATCTCACTTCCCACGCAAGTCCTTCTTACGAAATTTCGAGTTCGCAGACAGCCCGTAAGCACGTGCGGAGGATGTTGGACATTTCCAAAAGATTCTACGAATAATCTGCGAACAGCTAGGCCGCAAACTTAACTTGCTCCCCTCGCACGGAGTTAGCAAGAGAGACGCGCGTTGCACAAGACGCACGTCGCAAGCTATGAAGGAGCAAGTGCGTGTTGAGTAAGGGGCACGCCCTCACAACCGGGAACAAAGTCGAGGGCACACCGGGAATGCGTTGCACGTGCGTCACCCCCACGCCTGGTGTATAAAAGGCGTGCTCACGACGCACGCTCGTGTTTTTACATTGAACGTCGACTGTGTAACGTGTACAACAATTTTCAAAATTTTCAAATTTTGCTCAATTTAGTTTCTAATATGCCTCCAAAAGACAAGAGAAAGAAGTTTATATAGTAGAAAAAAAGGAGGAGGAAGAAGAAAGAAGAGAAGAACAGGAAGCAAAACTGACGTACGCCGTCAGTACGTCACCACAAACATGTGAGGCAAGTGTGAAGCAAAAGTGACGCAGAAGGGCACTACTTTCGCCGTGCGTTGCATTCCCTTCGTAAGTGGTGAGTGTGTGCCACGTACACAGGAAGCAAGACAAACTCAAGAAATGAGTACAATTCCCACGACCATCGCTCCTTGCAATTAGCGTCCCTGCTTGAAAGGACACCTCATGTGGCACTTGCACCTCGCAAGACAGACTTTCCTCTACCTCTACGGCCTCCACGGCCTCCGCAACACCCAAAAATCGCAGGGGACGTACGATCCTGAAATTCGTGCGTCCGGTTGTGACCGAGGCTAAAGATAGCTTTTCTATCTATCTATCTATCTATCTATCTGTCTGAGTAACACTACTGGCGAGGCGTTATTTGTCTTCTAAAGCACTGAACCGAACTATTTAATAAAAACCCTTAAAAGTATAGTTTGCCAAAGAAGCTACTCACTTTAACGCCGAAACGACCTTTATACGGTCATACAGCGCCTGGCGCTCTGCGGATGACGTTATCCACGCCAACTTCCAGGAGCCGCCGCCGGCGTTACACTCGGACTCGGCCTCAGAATAGCTCTTCTGGTCATTATAGTCAATGTACCACACAGTGTCTGCGATGCCGGGTACACAGAACATTTCTGCTTGACCGGTGGTAGCGAGGGGGTCGGGCGCGCTGCACGTGGCCGGCAGAGCTGGGCTGGACCCACAGTTGACCGAAACTAACAGGTCGGCTGGAACGTACGAGGCATGGCAATAGGTTTTCACATAGCTTTTTAACTTAAACCTGTAGGGCAAATAAACTGTTTCACTTTTACTATCTTTGTGTGTGCGATAGTGTGCCGCAAACAAGAAGCAGCTGCATGTAATTAAATACATGTACACTATTATAGAGACAGCGTTGTGTTTAACACCAGTATGTTTTCACGGTAAAGCAAGCAAGGTCTGCTTACAATGACACTCAATACCGGTAAAATGATTTCTAATATTTTGGTCTCTAATAACACTCTGTCATTTAACTTACCTGATACTAGGAGCGTCACGAATATACGGGTATCCATCGTTCATGTATGTGTTGACAGAACGATTAAAGGCACCCTTGGACAGAATCAGTATGATTACGTGGTCACGTGACCTGTTTGTAAACTGTCAAAAGACACTTCAGAATTAAAATAAATTAAAAATAAATACATAGAAGGGATGGTTAAAAAAGATGAACGCTAGCTAAAGTGAATTAACGAAAAATATGTTTGTTAAAAAACGTGATTTTGGGCATGTAAATGACAAACGGTCAGATGTTTTTTTTTTCTTCCGGATACCATTAAAAGGACATTGGCCTGGCAACTTAAACAATTTTCTGTTTAAGGTAGATCGGTCGTTACGTAATTTGACGATTTGCGCAATTTCAGCGCATCGTCAATCGTCTCTAACGACACTTCAGTCTGTTTTATCAATTTAAGGAAATAAAACAATTATCTATAAGATAAACACACATTATCAACTTGTCTGTAACTCTGTATGATCGATACAGATTTTCGACAACGTTTGTCGACTATGATTCCATACGACAACTGTAGCACGTTCATAGACTTGCCCTACAAGAAATCGTCGGAATAGCTCCTTTTCCAATTTGAATTGGCACTAGAAAATGTATGACAGCTAAAGCTCACAAATTATGCACGTAGGTGCTATGTCATGTAAAGAATAAGTGTTGTAAATTCCAATCAAAGCGGCTGCGCCCTACATTTTGAGGTAGAACGCCCTGAATGTGCTGCTGTAGTTTAGATTTCGACGAAAACCGGAAGTGCGTCGTAACGCCACTCATTTGGACTTAGAGAAATTTGGACTGAGAAATATTTC